ATGCGACCGGGTCTAGTAAGTGAATTAGCTTTCTGTTCATATACTGGCTTTCCAATAATTGTTGATAACGACCGACTGTGGAAAACATACAATGACGAAAGTGCCTCGCCCAGGCGGACGTGTGCATCCAGATCGTTTCCTGCGTATGTGGAGATCTGCTGGATGGGGATATCCAGTTCGTCCTCTCCTTCAGGGAACATGAGTTTGAAGGGTACCCATCTGGATATAGTTAGAGTGCTTGTTTAGGTACTAGATAGAGCGAATTTCTTGGCCTCTCAAAAGCGCAGTGAGGGAACTCACATTCCGTGGTCAAGATCGCGTTCCACTCCCGCCGCTTTAATCCCTTGATCGAGGAGATGCGTCAATACTTTCTCTCCTAGGGCTCTAGACGACTTATGCTGGTATTGATACTCGAAGACGTGTGGGAATGTCGTGTGCCAGGAAGGACCCAAGTCATGCCACACCTTGGTGGGTTCTTTGAGGTTCACTGCGGCACGATGGTTTTAGATTTCTCCAGTGGATAGAAACTGCTCTCTAACCCATTTACCTTCAATAGCATCACTTGCGCCTTGAAAATGCCCGCAAGTGACGACGATTGCTTCCGGTTTCAGGGCCTTGATTTCCTTGCCGATCTCGCGGAGATCTTGTTGAACGGGTCCATAGCCGGGCTTGAAGAGGATGCTGACTCCGCCTGGTGGTAGTCAGCAAACTGCTTTTGCGCTATAGCAACGGGAGGCTCTCGAACCGTGGCCGATAAAGTATGTGGGGAGTTTCTCATCCGACATGGTGGACGTCGCTGTTGCTCCGATGTTTCCGACGGAGCGCATATCCACTCAGGAAGGTCAAGCAAAATGAGGCGATACAGAACCTACCATAAAAGGGCGGGGCCGAGGGTCGATTTTATATGCCGTTGGCCTTATTTGCCAGCATCATGGAAACGCGCGTTAGCGTCGAGCAAAGCAATGAGATTGGCTCGATCGGGGCAAGAAGTGGAGAGGTCTTAATGATTTAGCCGCTAGCTGGATGGTGGACGATGGCGATCGATAGGTGAATATTGCATCATCATCCAAATCATTGTTCGTAGAGAGTATATGCACGTGTATGCATATATGTAGAGTGTACAGGTTGAGTGATGGATGTTATACACAGCCAAGGGTGCCTTTCCAAGCCTCGACACGAGGTGGAGAAATCATAAGTACTAGTATGCGCGGTCGCTTCATTGAAGAACCTTGTTGGTATGGATGACAGCTAACGCAGACAATTACAAGCCCTGCATGATGCAAGCGCAATATATATTCGAGTATAATGATAGGCCCATACCCCTGGTAACTGTAGATCATGGAGAATTGCTCATGATGATTCGCACCTATCACATCTGGGCTTCGTGCACGTCGGGGTAAACCTACCCCGGGAACTGAGGGGTTGCATGTCAGGGCCCAGTCCTGCAGACTTGTATATATACCTGCTTGTTATTCAGTTACTTTTGTGTTCATGCGAGGCTTACACTTGAAGGCAGCTTCTACACTGAGCAATCCCGTCATGGCGCTTATAGTATTGAAAGTTCTCTTTCTCGCCTCTCTCATTATCCCATCCATCGCGCTATCGGACCAAGCGAGGAATGGCGGCGCAAGAACTAAATGTGAAGTCAAACCAGGTGGCTCCTCAGAAATAGATGATGTGCCTGCTATCCTCAATGCGCTGACAACGTGTGGTTCCGGTGGCCGGGTGACATTCACCAATCACACCTACTACATCAATTCCGTCATGAACACAACATGGCTAGATGATGTTGAGATTGACCTGCAAGGTACACTCTTGGTAAGTAAAGAGCCTATGTAACCCCAATCTCTGCTAGCTTGCTGACACTGGGCAGTGGAGCACTAACATATCCTACTGGCTGAACCACTCCCTTCCTGTCGGTTACCAGAATCAATCCACTGCCTGGATCCTGGGCGGGAAAGACATCGTCTTTGAAGGACATGGATATGGAACCTTCAATGGAAGCGGACCGACCTGGTATAAATATGTTGGATCGACATCGAATTATCCACGGCGACCCAACCAGTTGACGGTTTCGGGAGCAACGGGAGCAGTGTTCAAGGGATTGCGATTCGTGCAAAGTCAGATGTGGTACGTACTAATCGATGATATTGTGAGCCCTTATCATATCAGTCTATGAGCTGAGGGAGGTAAAAAGGACCATGTCTATCATCTACACCTCGGACTCAGTGTTCGACTCCATCTACGTGAACAATTTGTACGATGACGGTGATTCAGCGCGTAAGTACCATACCTTATATTGAACAGAAATACAATCCACTTCTCTAACCTAACTTCAATAGAAAACACGGATGGCGCAAACACCATCTACAGCAACAACATCACATTCACCAACTGGGAAGTTGTCAACGGCGATGACAGTATCAGCACGAAAGCCAACTCCACCGACATCACGATCGCTAACTCGAAATTTACGAGCGGCCTCGGCATTGCAATTGGGAGCATCGGTCAATACAACGGTGCTTTTGAGACCGTCAAGGGCCTCAGAATCTCAAACATCACATACGACAAGACCACCCATGCCGTGTACTTCAAGACTTGGACGGGAGATCAGGTCGGATATCCGCCTAATGGAGGGGGCGGCGGTTTGGGATGTACGTTTCACCTATCGATATTCAACGCCTGTGATGATCCTAACCCTAAGATGACAACAGATGCCTCCGATATTGTCGCAACCAACTTGAAAACCAACAACCTGAAAGGCGCTCCGTTTACAATCTCTCAGTGCACAACCTTCGCTGGCGCCTCAGGGAACTGCACCAATTCCAAGTTTCAGATCCGCGACCTTGTCTTCACCGATATTTCGGGTACGGTCGATTCAGCGGAGGTTGCAAGTTTCCAGTGTAGTGCTGTTGCTCCGTGCGAAGATATTACTATCGAGAATGTGAGTTTGCGGATCGCGGGAAATACGACTCTTGCAGATGAGTATCTGTGTGGAAATGTGGAGGGAGCCGTTGGGTGGAATTGCACTGGGGAGGTGTGTGTTGGGTCGAGTGCTACTGGGGGATGTTAGTCCAGTAGTTGGCTCCTTTCTGAGACGGTTGATAGTCTTCTACTCGTAAGGAAAAATGGTAATGGAACTACGTGGGATATATCACAGCGTGTAGCTGTAGGGAAGATATATTCGAAGGCATGGACGAAGGCCTTTTTCCAATCTGAGCTGATATGTTTAACGTAACGAGAACTAAAAGAATAATCAAGTGTCATTTACCCAATTTTAACATTTCCATCTAGTCATAATAAACAGCATCTCATTCAATGCACTATAAACGCTCAGCTTCACCCGTGACAGCCCTTTTAGTCAAGATGGCCGAGTGTTCATTCAGCTGTTCCCAAGCGTGGGCATCATGGCAGGCCTGTCGACTCAGCCGGACGGCGCGTCTAGTGCGCAACCGCATTTCTGCCTCATACTCATCCAACGCATCCTTGGCCCCTTTCTCGCCCGAGTACACTTTCTTCAGCGCCTGAAAGAGATTAAATGCGTCTAACAGTCCATGATTCGCAGCTTCTCCCCGATCTGCTCTTGTCAGAACAACATACATCCGAAAGTCGCAACAGAAGACTTACACATCGTCATAGCGTGGGCTGCATCCCCAGCCAGGGTGATTCGACCATCACAGTTGTCCCAATCCAAGCATTCCCAATCCGCCAGTTTAATTTCCACTACCGGGGTTCCTTTCGGGATGCCTTCCACAACCGAACGCAGAAACGGCACGAAACCAACTGAGCGTCGCTTCATATTCTCCAACCGCTCAGCATCGGTGGCCGCCACTTCATCTACCTCACTTTTCACCGGCCATGACATACATATCTGGGCCCGATAATGCTCATCGCGTGTTCCCCGAGTGCCATTCTTGTCAGGAGTCTCGAGCATGGAGAACCAGAAGAACACGCCCGTGCTGGGATGACAACCCTGGAATAGCAAGGGATCCATTGATCGCAGCGGCTTGATTTCCTGAGGGGACAAATCTACTGCTACCCCGGTGAATCTGATGGGAAGTACAGAGTTGCTGTATGCATCGGGTCGCAGGACTCGTCTCACCAACGATCGACTTCCTTCGACGCCGATAACGAATCTTCCCGACACGCGGGTGCCATCTGCCAGGACCAGACACGGAGCAGCAGTAGAGTCACTTTTCACATCCACATCAACCACCTGCGAATTCCAACTAACATGCTGTTCGATTCCCCGAAGCAGGGCTTGGCGCATCTTCTCCCGATTGACCCGCCAGCGGGTACTTGGGGGGATCTTGAACTTGGGCTCGCCAGTCGCAAGGTCAATGAAAAGGAAATTCCCATTGTCGTTCTTGGCCACTTGAGGGTCCACCTGTACCTCCTGGATAGCTTGTAATGTGTCCTCGGGCAACATCTGTTGAATGTACTCTAGGGCCCAATGCAAAGTAATGGCCCAGCCTTGGCCGCGAGCATCCGGTGACGCATCACGCTCGTGAATGCGGAAGGGGATGTTGGCCTAGACGTGGCTATTTAGCATTCATATATTACTGCTGACATTGCGAACAGCTTATACGGATCATATTCATTCATTACCTTCTGAAGAGCTTGACCGAGAGTCAGTCCGACAATGCCGGCACCTACAATGAGAACGGGTTCCATGGTGATGATTCTGGGATATAGTTGAGGATCTATCTGACCGGCATTTCCTCGCTTGAAAATAAATAATTTCCGCATCATTTAGACTATCTGGTCTGTAATATATCTTCCTGGTCAAGTGGCTTATCCGTCGGTTGATCGGATAGTACGTACCAGTGGCTGATGCTAGCGTCGTCGGACCGTCGCATAGATAAGCTGCAACTGCGGGGATGGCTGCAGGTGCATATCAATAGCCGAGGAGGCGACATGCGACGGGCGTCGCCAATCTATTAGTATATAAATAAGATAAGCCTCGCGAAAACCAATCCAACCAACTACCGACAAGAGCACAAGGACACACCACTTATCATATACCAACCATGTCGCACGAAGCCCTCAACCCTATTCACCCGTCCGTGCTGCCGCATCTCGACCCTACCTTCATTGAACTCTATAATAAGCATGTAGCCAACACCCCCAGCGGGCCAATTGATCTCGCCGTCCTTCGATCCAAATATTCCGTTCTTTACTCCTACGGCACTGGTCCTGCGCCGGAGCCCGCTCGCGTATACGAAGCCACTATCCCAGGACACAATGGGGATTTAATCCCCTGCCGAGTCTACGAGCCCGACAGCCCGGGACCATGGCCCGTCCACATTGACTTTCACGGTGGTGGTCCGTCCCCCCTCCTCCTCCCCGTCCACATCTTTCGTAAATCGAAGCTAATCAAGAACTGCGATGTAGGCTGGGGCCTCGGCGACCTAGACACCGAATCACACATCTGCAAACACATCGCGGTCAAGGCCAAAGTCGCCGTGGTCGACATCGGCTACCGTCTAGTCCCGGAGCACGCCTTCCCCATCGGCATCCAAGATTCATTCGCAGCACTCCAACACCTATCCTCTCCGGCCGGCCGCACACAATTCCCAAGCCTCGACACCACGCGCATATCCCTCGGTGGCGTCTCCGCAGGAGGCAACATCGCCCTCATCCTCGCACACCTAGCCCGCGACCACCAAATCCCGCTCCGTCTAGTAGCGGTAGGGACACCCGTGATTGACGACATCTCCCGGTATACAACAGCGCACGACTCGCCCTTCCCCTCAATGCAGGAGATGGAGCACGCGCCGACTCTGAACTGGGCGCGGTTGAAATGGTTTGATCAGCTGAAGTGGCGCAGTCTCAGCAGCGAGGATGAAGATTTACGTCAGAAGCAATTGGCCGAGGTGAAGTGGTATGCTAATGCGTTGAATGCGCCGAATTTTACTCGTTTGCCGCGCACGGTTATCTATACGGCTGGGTGTGATCCGCTGCGTGATGAGGGTGAGGCGTATGCAAGGAAGTTGGTCGAGGGTGGGTGTGAGGTTACCGTGAGACGGTTTGAAAGCGTTCCTCATCCGTTTATGCATATGGATAAAGGTGAGTTTCGCCTCCTCCGCCCCCCCTCCCCTTTCTTTTTCTGTTCAGAGTGTGTGCTGACGAGAGGTACTAGATCTATGGCAGGCACGGCAGTTTATAGATTTGATTGCGGGTCATATTAAGGGAGCGTTGCATGATTAGATAGATAAATAGCCTCGCAGTGTGCATAATTCCCGTGTATATCTTTATGGAGTAATCATCCAATCATCCATCAGCTTCCCAAACATTTGCAACCAAACAAAAGCAAGGGGCAGATAGTAGTAGTAATAGTAGTAGTAGTAGAATTGGAAGGCCTTGCAGGCAACTCAGTGACTTGCCGGTTGATCGTCTCACCTGCCGACGGCGGCTGTTCTCCGACCAATCACTTATAAACACAATTGCGGTGGACAACTGAGATATTAAGGCGAATATTGACTTCATAACTCCATGATTTGTAAAATATATTTATTCTTAACCAGACATGCGGTTCAGTTTGGACCCCTGCCTAGACAACCTTGAGACTCCATACTCCATACTCCACTCCATACCATGTATGGTGTATGTGGACATCAATCCCATCGATCCATCTCGGCTAATTCTCCCCATTGAGCCTCAAGCTCCCGGATCATCCAGTTCGTTCGCCACCCAACCGCCTTTTCTACCCGGCGGAGGAACTGCAAGGACCCTTGTTTCTCAGAGGGGTGGCGGAGGCAGTATCCATCTAACTCTTATTAGCACACGTTAGGTGTGAATGGCATCTGTAGACTCACATCGATGTAACAAGTGGCACGCCATAAAGTATGCATTCTCCACAGTCTCGTTTGACATGGAAAGTCCTATCGTCCGAACCAGATGGGATGCTATGGTCCTCTGTAGCCCGTTAGAATGGACATATTGTCACCTCTGACTGATCATACCTCTTCTGTTCGTCGCAGCCGCGCCAGCTCGTAATCGCTTGATACATTCCAGTGCCGGTGGGACGAGGTAAGAAGGATACACGCTGCATGGTAGTATTGTAGACCGACGACTATATGGTCAGCGACAGCTACACATCAGGCGCTCATACATACCTGCTGATGGAGACATCATCCATAACTCAGGGAACGGTCGATTTTCCGCTGGATCTGAATCCTTGTATTGCAACGGCTGCCAGCTGATTGGCCGCCCACGATGCCACTGTTCCACGCTTTCAGATAGGTGCTGCCACTCGCCCTCATCGACAAAGCTGCAGTGTGATCCCCAGCAGGACTGGATAATCTTCGCACACAAAAAGATAATAACGTTGGCATATGAAGCGTCATCGCGGCGCTGGAACACGGACGAGAGCTCGTAGTTGGCTAGATCCAGTTGCATCGGTTGATGTTGCACCAGGGAAGCATAGATTGCCTGGCGAAGGAATTGCCAACTGACTGCCTCGGCGAGACCGCCAGAAGAAGCGGACTTGGACATAGTATTTAGGAGCCTGTTTGACCCAAACAAGTGACACTTTTCATCTGTTGCACGCTCGAGCTCTTCATATATCCGCAGGGTGACCACAGTAATGAGCAGGTTATCATCATATGTCTCTTCTGGCAACGCTAAAGCAGATATGAGAAGCTCTAGACATTGTCCATGATATTCGGAGGCCTCCCAGTCGCTAGCGTTGGACATGATCGCATCGTGTCGTGCGGCGAGGCACAGCACAGCTTTCAGCACCATCGGGACTTGCAAGGCTCGACGAGGGACTTCGGTACTGAAATGGGAGCGAAGATCGCATATGTCGGCCTAAAACAGTATTAGACTAATAGATATGTCTTCTCTGAAGAGACTTACCCATGGTGCAATTTTTTGGATGAACAGTCGTAGTAGATGGGCTTCACGGGAGCTCAGCGGCGGTGAGCCGCTCGGACGGGGACTCACCGAGCTTAGCGGTGACGCCGAGCTCGTCCATGTACTCGCAGACGCCAAAGGCGAGACAATATTCAAAAGAGAAGGAGATAAGCCTGCAGAGGATGCAACGATCGGGGGATCGTTGAAGACAGGAGACCCCACAGGGGGACTTGAGTCCACATGTGGATGGCGGATATTCTCATCCTGAGAATAAAGGACTTCAGGAAAGGGCAAATGATTAAAACTGGATATTTGGTCGGACATATCTCTCTGAACCTCATCAGAAGCATCCTGATGACTGCCGTTATCCTGGGCATCAGGTTGAGCATCGGTGGTGTTGCCCTCGTCCGACTCATCGGACGATTCCTGCACAAACTTTACTATACAACCGATCAGCATGCCAAGAGATTCACAAACAAACAACCAACAGGGTTGATTCCAGCATACATGACTGAGGGAGATTAACCCATGTCTGACATGGATCCCAGGCTAACTCAAACTTAGAGGCTATGCCATTACTCTTCTGGTATACATGTCGGACGGCTTTGAAACGAAACGGCGGATCCAAGCGACAGACCCGTCCCAAACGAGTACAGGCATTACAAGCCGAGGCGCCCGCGCGAGTGGTGCATCGAATATGACGAACCCGACAACGTTCACATCCTCGTCCGATTCTCATGGCAGGCTGTGGGGCAAGAGGCCCTTAGCGGTCAGCGCTGCGGGGAAAGGACAACGAACGGACAGGGACATCGGCGGGCTAAGGAGATTCATCCAGCCTACTGGACAGGAGGACGAGATTGACGGCGAGTGTGGCCTGATGGGGGGAGGGATGGGATGAGAACACGACAGAGGAGAGGAGGACGGGTATGGCTGCGAGGTGAAATGGCAGCTTGTCGGCTATTGATTTGTTGCCAATGCGGAGTCTGTCTCCCCCGCGGGGCCTGGGGCCAGCAATTTCCCGTTTAAGTCTAGTGCGAGTTTCCCCGCATTGTCCCTGTGGCTGATTCAGCATTCAGCTTTTGCGTGCTTGCTGATTGGTGGATATACGCTGATTCCTATGGGTGATGGTTTTATGGGACTCGGGACGGACTGTTAGTGAATAAGTATGGATGGGTGAAGCAAAATGATGTCATTATCGGATTCTAGAGAATGGTGGTTCTATATCTAGTAAAGAACTTTCCAGATCTGCAGAAGAAAGGAACTATCTACAATAGAGAATTCAGGTTATCTTACATATCTCGGTGGTCAACTAAATGTCCGGTAAGCTCTTTCCCTTCCCTTTAACTTTCATCATTAGTTTCTTCTACTGCTCCATTTTCTTTCCCTATGTCCATGTGGTAACCACATAACAAACCATGGGAGGCCGAGGTCTTACAGCTCTCCTGCGGGAGGAGACATTCTGCCAAGATGCAGCCATGACCAGAACCCCCCTGTTTAATGACAGCCAGTCTGCAATCCGGGTAGTAGGGTCTCAGTCCTCCTTCCGGATAGGCATCTATAGCAGGTGTAGAATTCTGTAAGGTGCAATATCTGGTCTTATAAGCCACAGGGACTACTGCACACATGGAGGTGGAAGGAATGAGGTTGCAGACTCCCAAGGCAAGTGGTGTAGCCGCCACCTCTATCCGGGGCATAGAAAGGAGATGAATAGGACACAGAATACAAGATGAAAGCAAGCGACCTCGGTGTTGTGTTGTAGCAGTTGATTCTTTTCGGATGTTAGATACAAAAAATGTAGAATAACAGGAGAAAGGGAAGAGAGTGTAGGGTAAGATGGTGTTCTTCCTTAGGGGGAAACACGTGGGTAGTATAATAGCATCTTATATAGCGGTTTCGATTATGTCTAGGCATAAGAGTTGGATTGCGGGGAACTTCACCGGCAAAACACATCAAGCGGGAAAGTACTTTTCCGGGCCTTAAATACCGCTTACCCGGTACAATATGTAAGACATATCGCCTTTCAAAGAGTACCTTCATAGCCACAAGCGTATTACTATTTACCGCCATATGCATCTAGATCCATCGTCCCGTTCAGGGACTACATTTACTCCGTTCCTGGTGGGTGATTGTGCGCCGTCGCCGTAAAATCCCGAGGCCGGGCAGGCGAGGATCCGATCCCCAAGGCTGGGAAAGAGATGGGTAGGAGTGGGTTTTCTATAATTTGGCAAGTCGGGATTTGGGGGGGATGAGTGTGCCGGGTTTGAAGAGATGGATTCATGATGAGGCTGAAAGGTGTGGAGTGATAAGTTGAAGGTGGAGTATGATGTCGATGAGGAGGTGCGGCTTTATTTTCCATTGAGGCAATAAATTGGTTTATTAATTGGATGGAGTGAGGCGGTAGTAGAGGTTCGATTGATCCAATGGAATGGGGATACCCTTTCGACTATATGTTGGTGCATGTGAATGAATGCCATTGTTTATCGCGCAATGAGGCTGTAGCGGAGCTAAGTGAGAATGGAATCATGGAATGATATGCGTCGGGTCGGTCCGTCATGTTTGCGCCACCATATGATGATCTCTAAAAAATCCAAAGATTAGCAACCCAAGCCCTAATGGGACATGGATAACCCATCACTGCACCAGCTAGGAAGGAAAACAGGCTGGCGCTAGGCAGAACGGACCAGGGATTTCTGCCTGTCGCCGACCGCTAGTTTCGTCGAGGACCATTGGCCATTCGAGTTACTCCCAGGTTGTTGTCTAGGCTCTGCGCGATCGCATCCAGACCAGTGAATAATGCAGACCCATTAGGCAGACATGCATGTCAACCGCGTCCCACGTTGCTTGCCGCATCCCACAGCCTCCCTGCGTTGAAGATCCATAGAGGCTCTGCTCTACTGTGGTCCACTCGTTCTACTTTTTCTTTTTCTTTTTCTTTTACTGCTCCAAAGTGAATCTGTAAGTTGGTGGTCATGTAGTAGACAAACTGATGTCATCTGTCCTCAGGGGAATCCTCTTGACCTCGTCCCTGGTGCCCGGCTGACTGATTTCTTTGCTTGCCCTGTGACCGACCCGAGCAGCCACACTCCATCGCCACACTGCCTCTGACTCTGACTCTGCCTCTGCATTCACCACGCACACAACATCCTGGGTTGTTGGTAAGGCTGGAGAAAGCTCCAGCCGTGACACCTTGCTCAAGCAAACCGCAACGGACCCCCCTCGCAGCTGAGCCACACTGTTGGTTCGATGAGAGGAGCGAAAGCAGTTATGCCCCGGCTGATCCTGACGTGCGGTCATTGTTGCTGCGATTTGCAATATCATTTAACTTTATAAGAATTCCACCGAGTCGCAGCTCC